CAACCTGAAAGGGCCTGTGCTCATTTCTATTGCCTTAAGTTTCTATCTGACAGAGGAATCTCACAGGCTTTGGGTGAACCATTCTTGGAGGCTTAGGCTGAGAAAAGGACCAAGCCCTTGAAAACAAAGGACATGACAAGTTTCTCAAAAGTCCATCTGAAAGTGAAGTAGTCATTATCTTGTTGGGCTCACAGTCCATTTTGGGGTGACACAGATGTTCCAGACCAAGGACCATGCTAGCACCAACAGTGTGAGACAAGGAAATAAAAAGAGCAAACAGCAAACAAAAAACCAAGAGTTCTGCAATGAAAGAGAAGGTACAGGAAAGTTATAGGTAAAAGGGAAGATGAGTATCATTTGTAAAACACATAGGTTGTGATTCATAGTGATTCTCTGGCCACACACTGATTCACCTCCAGGCTCTGCTTTTAGGTGAAGCTGCAAAACAGTCAGTGAATGATAAGCTAAAGGCATAACTCTTTACTAGAGAGTATTCCAACAGGTTGTACAGAAGGATATGAGAAGCAGGGTCATTCTACCAGCCCTGCTTAAAGACTACTTAATTTTTCCAACTTACTAGCCCTCTTCCTTTGTTCCATTCTTAGTATTAATAATAATAATTTGATTCATATCCCACTCTTCCTTGCAAGGAGCCCAGATATGCTATTTTAGATTGTGAGCCTGTATTGTTTCACTAACTGCATGCAAGTTCCTCAAGGAGATTGATTGGCTGTTCAATAATAAATAAATAAATAAATAAATAAATGGAAAATATTTGAATTCTAGTTTCCTGTCACTCTAATCTTCTATTACTATTAGAATAGAACTGTTTGTAACAAGTACATGCAGCAACAATTCTGAATGGGAAGATTTTCCCAGCATTGAGAGGAAGAAGTATATTCACCAAATAGATTTGTTTCTATTTAAGACTGGGTATTTTCCCCTGTCTAATGATAGAAATACTCAGATCCTATGAAAAGTAGGTTATAATCAATTGAGAATAAATCAACAATGCAATAAGATAGTCTATCATAAATTTCAGTAATGCTTGACTACTGATAAAATGTTTTCAGTATTAATGACCTGTTAATCTAATCATCTAGTTGAAATACTGAATGTGCTAATTTAACACCCCATATTTACATGTATTCTTCAATATCTGGTTGTGCTACAAATCTGGGTCCCTATTTCCTCAGGTTCTTCAGTGGAATAGGTTCTTTTTCTAATTAGGTTCATCCCCATTGATTAGTAGCAAACATGATGGCTTCCCAACTATGGAATGATTTACCTACTCAGGTCTGCCTGGCACTAACCTTATTATCCTTTACACTCCAGGTATAGCCCTCTATACCAAAGAATTTAAAAACACAAGGATATCCTACAAGGACTATAAGAGACTACCAATTTCAGGTACTTTATAGGTCTTCCAGCTATCCTGCATTGCTTCAGCTGTTCCTAATTAGTTTTTACTTTTTTGTATTTTGGAAAGCATTTATGGCATTTTAGTGCACTGTTTTATGCACAGTTATGAACCACTCAGGGAACATCATCTATTGGGTGGCAAATAAATGAAATAAAGAATAAGAATAAAGTGCAGTATGATTATATGCATGTTTACTTGAGTCCTGTTTAATTATTCATAGTAAGTGCTCACAATTTGTAACCTGAGGGACTTCTTGCACTGAATGTGAATTCATTATAAAATGCATGAATTAGAGGGATATAATTTCTTATCATAACATAATAGATGGATACTAAAGCACTATTTCCAGTTCAATCATAGCAACACAAATTTTAGCACCACCACAATTTAACAAAGTCAAAGAAGATCAACCTGAAGCTTTCCTTGCTATTTGGGTATATACACATCTCTTCTGATTTTTAGTATATCATAAATTATGAGTCTGGTCTTCATAAGTAATCCTGCTTAATTAAAATTACATCATTATCTAAATTGCTACTTAATATTTAGGTAAACCTGCTCTAATTTTGTAATACAGTATTTTGCATTGTTGCTGTTTCATTGTTTTCTGTCCTGACAATTTTTATTGGAGAGTGGCATTAAAATGTGTATTTAATTGCATACATTGTACTACTAATGGAATGTGGGTGAATGGTAGAACATTTTGCCATATCTATGATTGGATCCATACTTAGTCCATAGTTAGAAGAGACCCACTGATATCATAACTAGCTTAAGCTTCCTGAATTTCAGTGAGGCTAACCCTGAATCCAACAGTTTCCTCTTTCTAATATTCACCATATACTATGTGACTTGACATCAGTTGAGAAAAGTATGTACTCAGTTAATTTAGCATAATAGTTTTATTTGTGGTAGGCTTCATCTTCAAACCTCAAGAGAAGGAAGCAAATTGCATAAAAGCTGCAATATTTATTATATGCCTACACTGTCCAAGCTCTCTAGCCAGTTCACAAAGTACCATAGGTTCGCCTTTCTCAATCTATAATGAATCCCTGGACACAAGCAAGTGAATCATCAAAATGGCTTGGTTTATTTGTCTAGTCAAAAACAGTTAACATCATGTGTAGGTGAGAATGCCACCCAATGAAGCAATCAGTCTATAAAAAGAGTAGTAATTCATGTGGTTAATCTGGAAATTAATTTCTTAAAAATATAAGCATCCATTATTAATCTATTTACTGCATTTTATACTATCCTTTCTCTAGTAAACTAAGACCAGTGTAGGATCACATGTGAGTATGTGATTTTATCCTAACATTCACCATGTAAGATATAGTTAACATACAACAAATGATAGGCTCGGTGACTTTGTCTTCCCTGTCCTCCAACCACGATATCACACTGGCTGTAACAAGGTCATATGGAGAAGAGGAAGCACTATACTATGTTTCTGTAATTCAAAATTCATTTTGTGCCCTTTACTAAATGTTTCCACTGTAGTTAGAAAAGAACTTAACAGGTAGGTATCTCACATCAAATCTAACACCAATAAAATTGTGCAAATACAAAACTCATTATAATGTGGTTTTACATATAGTTAACATATTTGCAAATTTTTATTGAAGTAAAAGAATAACATAAGAAAAAATCAAAACTATATCAATGATAACAAGTTTGGCAATACTTAATAATTTAATGACAGCATTTTGGTCTGTGCCAGGAAAAATGTGTCAGGGGAAAAATGGTGCACATTTACCTTTCTACTGAAGAACACCCTGAGCATCTGGCATGGTACTGTTACATATGACAAGGTTTTCTGAGTCATATTCAGAGGTACACACTGAATCCAGATGGGGCCTCAGGAAAGAGTTCACTGCAAAGGGTGATTAGGCTGCTGAGTACAAGGGAGTGGCCCTGTACCTTTTAGTAGTAGTCCCACACCCCACAAATCATCTTCTATTAGTAGGTCATAAGACCCTTTTTTTCAGCTCTTCAAGAAGCTCCGAAGATTCACTTTTTTCTTGGCCTCTCCATAATCTGTGGGCTGCAGGTTTAACTGGTGTTATCTGTTTTCACAGTATTTTATCGGGTAGGTATTTATTGATTTCTAATAGTTTGAGCATATTTTTGTATTCTTTTTAGTTTGTATGCTACCATCCAGTGGTGGAGAAGCCATCCTTAAGATAAGCTTGCCTGCTATTACTGCTCTTCATTAAAAATAACTTCACTAAAGTTCTCCAAACTCAGTCAGAAAGTACTCATCTATGGGAATGCTGCATGTTTCTCAAAGTACTAAAATGCCACACAGTCTCAGGATAGCATAAAAGGAATGGGTCAGAATCTCAGTTCAGTAGTAGAATACATGATTTGAATGTAAAAGTGCCCAGGTCCAACCTCTAGATGACCTTTTAAATGCTTTTAACACCACTTCCTGGGTACCTGCAATGTGCTAAAGCTTCTTCAATGAGGGCTCCATACTCTTCACTAACATGTAATGTGTACAATATTCCTGTTAAATTGTAAATATGAAATTGCGGGTGGTATAGGGATGCAAATTAATTTAACAAAAAGAAAATAAATTTAGTATTATATTTAAGAAAATGAACAGAGTACATTCCTTCAGCAGCATCAAAGATTAAGCAAGCAACTGACAGTGTGGAAACAAATCATTTGAATGAGTCAGCAAATGCAGTGAAGACTATATAATGTTATGAAAGGGCTAAAATTCATGTGACATTGTAGAAAAATGGGTACATTCATAAGAATGAAGGGCAATCCAATTTATTACTGACAGAGAACAAATATTCTCTAATCTGGAAATGTTTTCAGTTTATTTACTGAGGTCTGCCCTTTCAGACCATATATTTAAGTGAAATAGCCTACATGTTTTTAAAATGAACAATGAATTATGTTTAAAATGAAACATAATGATAACCAGCACTTCCTGTCCTCCTTTCACGTTTGGATTTTTAAAAATACATGTTACCCACATGAAACGGAGGTAGTTCTATTTTCCCAACATGAACAAGCCCTGAAAAAAAAGGCAGTCATCCATATCAGTGGTCACCAATCATTGCTTTGCAAAATAAGAGGCACAGGGATAAATGCAGCAATGGAAAAACTTATATAACTCTCTATAATCCAAGTTCAAGGACACAGGTTCAAAACATGTTTGGTCTCAACTAAGAGGACATCCTAAAACTCATCTGTAACTCAACCTGCAAGGCAATGATCGGGGTGACAGCCGAGCTGTCTTTCAGGGAAGTTCCTTTGCCATTGCAGTTGCAATACCTAAAGGAAAAACTTCACTTTAGTTGGATATGACGACAACAGGGAAAAATTTATACACATTTTGTCCAATGAAAAGGGCACAATTATATATAATTAGATGCACGTACCTTTTAAAAACATGGATGTAGCAGATGAGAATAGACAAGAGACTACACTTTCAAGGCTTCTAAGGTATACAAGCATATTTCCACATGAACTCACATTTGGGAGCAGAGTTCAGATCTCTAATGCTGAATCACTATGGTGGGAAAACATCTTAAGTGTATTAAGTGAACTCTTAAATTACCCAGTAGTTCCATTGCATCATCTTCATTGTCAATATCTTCTTCAGTCACTGATGGAGCTGTGCTTTGTACAGAATCAAATGAATCCTGGGAAAGCATAGCAGCTAGTAGTTTCTTATGTTGCTGCTGCTGGTGTTTCAGTCCTTTGGTCTTTGGTTCCATCTTTAAACTAGAAAAGAAAGAATTGCCTCCTTCATTTTTCTGTTTCTCCAAAACAAATTTAGAGCATCTGTTTAACTCTCAGGAGAACATACAAGTGAGATCTAGCCTAATCAGTGTGAAAAATTAATCATATCTAAGTCCGATTGATTTCAACTAAGCTTAGTCTGGATACAACTCTATACAGTTAGGTACTTACCATGAAGTTTCATTCTGATCTGATGAACAGAAGACAACTATCATGGGTTAACTCCTTCCACTTTCCAGGAATGTGTGACCAGGCTTTTTGTTTTGGTCCTGGCCTCTGTGGCTTCTCTCACCCAGTTCTTTTCTAGTTGAGCTTTTAGCTAGATTAGTGATTAAGGAGCTAAAAACACAAAGAAGGAAGAACACAGAAAAGGAAGAACTGATGGATATAGCAGTCACTGAAAGTACAGGTGAGAACTAGGCTTGCACCCTGGCCTAGAGAGGACAGCACTGAAGTCTGTCTGTGAAGCTTGTCTGTGAACAGGGAGTTGTTCTTCAGGAGAAAGACAGCAGTCTGGCTAAGTGTCACCAGTTTGTGACCAAATGCCATACCAGTCCTTGTAGGACTTGAAAGAAGGAATGACAGCACTCTTCACATAGTTGAAGAATTTGGCAGAACCATAGCCTCTGGGTCAAAATGGATTTATGGACACTAATGTTTCTCATTCTTTCTTGGTGTTATTTTTATCCCCTTTTTTGGACAACTGTGTCCTGAAGAGAATACATGAAGCCTGCCTCTTGGCTGGAATGAACAGAGCACAGTCACAGAGGCAGGTATCCAGAAAAGAAGCACAGTGGCCTACTGGAGTGGGCTGAAAAGATGGCAAAGCTGCTGAAAGACCGGCATGTATCGAGTCACTTCACTGGGATTACATTGTCAGTTTAGGAAGATGGCCTCTGTATAGAGAGTCTTCAGAATATGCAATAAAGATGGGATATTGTATTCCAGAGTTGGAAGGAGACAGCTTCTGTGTAAGGATTTTCACTGCATGTCTTCCTTGAAAATTATGTGGGCTAAGACCATCTTGTTGCTGGTTTTGACTATATGTGGGCAATTCTTTTGATGAAGAAGTGCATGGCATGAGTTTTCTTTAAATCTGTTCCAATGTATTTTTAACCAATCTGGGAAAACAAAAATGATGGTTGGCAGAGAAATAACTGGGTGAACTGCGTAATCTTCCTTCCGGAATGTTTACACATGCTAGCAAGTCCTCTGGGTTGATGTCCAGATCAGCCTCAGCTGAGGCAGAAACTAAGAAGAGGAAGCACAATACTGCATCTTCTACTTCTAGGGAGGATCTGCTGCATTTAGGAGTATCAATTACAACAATGACAGTGGAAGGGTTTGTATGTTGGATACACATGCCCATGTCCCTGCTAGCTGCTCACAATCTGGTAGTCAAACACTCCTCTGAAGCTTGAGGGTCAGTTACAGTGGTGATGGAAACAAGGGACACAGAGTCCTCAGGGTCTGAAGAAACAGCAATCAAACAGCACCAGCTGTATTTCCTATTCAAGTACAGCTGGTGTTTCACAAGCAGTAGATTAGTTTTGACAAACCTAATGTGAGTAGCTGACTACTCTAGTCCTTTTGTAGATCTGGAGCCATCTTGTGGCATATGACAAGAAGAATCAAGAGAAGGGAAAAAACCTCACTCCTTACACACATGCACACACACACAGACACCCCACACACACACAATCAAGACAAGGCTTGATCTTAGCAGTCTAACATTTGCTTAGAAAAAAGATAGGAATAACTTAAGAGAATGATGAGGCAAAAGTACACAGTTCATTGAAAGAGAAACTAGAGATAGTTTAGCATAGTTTGAAAGCTGAACTGGGACTAGAGCGATTCAGCAGGTTATATTCCCTACTCATTCATGTAGGGAACTCTGGGCCAGCCAAAGACTCTCAGCTTAGCCTGTTGCACAAGCTTGCTCTGAGGATAAAACAGAGAGGAAGAGAACCTTGTAAGCTGCCTTGTGTTCCTTGCAAGAGGAAAAAGGTGCAGTATAAATGTAAGGTAATAAATAATAGGAAGTTCTATCATGGGCAAAGGCAACAAAAGAACCACCTGGGAAGACCTAAGGAGGCCATGTCCTTGGCAAAAGTTCCTGATCACATGTTCCTTGCCAGTTCCTTGCCAATTCTGGGTAATGGGAGGAGCTAACCCATGACAAATGTGTCCTAACACTGGATGAGAATTATAATTCAAGAATTAAAAATCTTGAAGTTGTCATGTGTAGTAGGTAGCCCTATACATTGCCTGATTTATTTGTCAACACATTTAAAAATGTTCATTTAAATATATTGTTTTTATATGTCTCAAAATGAAAAGCAAGGGCTGTTTGTTTGTTTTAGAGTAGCCCTGTTTGCTAATTCCTAAAGTCAGTAACCATCTAAAAAACTGAGTCTCAAGATGTCCTTCTGCTTATCAACAGAGTCCCACTCTATTTGTACGTGAAAGGACACCTTTGGATCAATCAAATAAGTTTCTGAAATAACAAAGTGACTGAAAGATATTAACAAAATCAATTTCTAAAAATGCATTTAAAACACAAAATTGTTCTGGCTTCAAACTTTCCTACCATTTCACATCAGTTTTATAGAAATAACTACTCTATATACTGACCTTTCTTACAACAATTATATTTATTAAGTGACACTATTATTAGATATGTACCAGGAATATAACTGTATTTAGTAAAGAATACTAACTAGATAAGGCTAGTTGCACTATAATTGTAAATTGCAGTTTATCCAAGCTCAGTGATCCTGTGACAGTTTCATTTACTTCATAGATGTTTAAAACTCCTTGTAGTTTATGGTCACATATTCATGGAAGCTAACTATTGCCCCCAGTATCAGAGCAGTATGCGTCCTAATATCAGTTGCTGAACATAAATGGGTTTCCTTTCTGTGGGTTTTCCAAAGGAATCACATTGGCTAGACCATCATGGGAACAGAACACTGGATTAGATAGGGCTTTGACCTGATACAGCTGGGCTCCTCTTATTTTTCCCTATATACAGCCTTAGGCCCCTCTTGGAGGCACACTTTAGCATGGAGATGGAATTTGAGAGTGTCAAAGGAACTGAGAACAATACCAGAAGGAGGCCAGAATAGTCTTACTAGGCTGATCTATCAGGGCCACCCAAGGCAGAATGGCAAGTCTGAGACACTAAACTTAGATGCATCCACTCTCTTCAGAAATAACAGTTGCATAAGGATACAGTAATCCCCCTTCTGAATTTTCTTACCTTAAAAACTCTATGATGAACCATTCCAAAATGAATCAAGTGATATTGCCAAAAATGACCCCCCCCCCACCTCCCAAAGTTGTAAGGCGCTTTATGAGCTGCTGGGAAAGGGCAAATGACAAATACAAGCAGCACGGTTGCTAATGATGCTACTTAATCAAACCCAAAAGAAAGTTTAGAGGCCAATATGCACAGAGGTAAAAGGAAAGTCTAATGCCACACAACACCTGCACTTGGGATATGGAACATGAGAAGTATGAATCAGGGCAAACTGGAAATTGAAAAAAATGAACATTACAGAACTTAGTGTGAGTTTACTAAAGAGGACTGAAGTGGGATGTTTCCAGTCAGACAAACACCAAGTTTTGGAAAAGGCAAACTCAGGGTGACTCTAATACTGTGGTAAAATAGAGCACATGCAGTAAGAAACTATAATGCAAAATCTGACCAAATCATATCAGTCAGGATTAGTGTAAAACCTAGACCACCATTCAAATCTACCAGCAACAGATGTTGAAGAAGAAAAAGGAAATTTGTATGCAGTTGTTCAAGAGGAAATTGATAACACAATAGATAACAAGACATCCTGATAATCATATGTGACTGTAATGCAAAAGTAGGAAACAGATCATAATCAAATGTGCTAGAAAAAAGGTGAAGTGGTAAAAAGCAAAGCAAGAAAACAAATCTTAGACCAGGAATAGACTGTGCTGGTGACCATGAATTCTTAATTTCAAAAATCAAGAGTTCAAGCTAAAAAAAGATTTGGCACAGAAACATAGTGCCAAAATACAACTTAAATAACAGTTCATATAAAGAACAGATTTGCATTGCTCAACTCAATTAACCATGAACCAGAAGAACTGTGTATTGAAATGGGAGCAATTATTAGGCAAGAATATCAAAACACAATTCTTGTAGCAAAAGGAGAGAAAAACAAACTTATATGTGTGTGACAGAAGAAACATTCACAGTTGCAAAGGAAAGGCAAGAACCAAAAGCAGAAGTTGACAGGATAAATCCTGAATGAAATTTTCAGCAAATATGACATAGAGACAAAAAGAACTATTACAATGAACAGCACAAAGAAATAGAAGAGAGCAACAAAAGAGGAAAAATGAGGGACCTCTTCCAGAAGATTCAAGAAATAAAAGGGAAATTCAACCTATGTTAGGAATACTGAAAAAAAAAATGTCCACAGAACAATTACAAAACTTTACTGTTAATAATGAAGAAAGCAACATTGTGAAAGATTTCACAAGCTATGGATCAGTCATCAATTCAAAGGGAGACTGCAGTCAAGGGATTCAAAGAAAACTGAGACTTGAAAGGTCAGCAATGAAAGAACTAGAAAATATTATCAAGTTTAAAGACTGTTTACTAGAGACCAAGGTCAAGATCATCAAAATATTGCATTCCCAATCATAATGCATTGGTGTGAAAGTTATACAGTGAAGAAAGCTGAGAGGCAGAACATTGATACATTCAAGCATGGTACTGAATCAGTGAACTAAAATGGACAGGAATGGGTGAATTTAATTCAGATAACCATCAGGTATACTACTGCAGCCAAGAATCCCTCAGAAGAAATGGAGTAGCCTTCATAGTCAATAAAAGAGTAGGAAAAGCAGTACTGGGATACAATCTCCAAAATGACAGAATGATCTCAGTTCAAATCCAAGGCAAACCATTCAACATCACAATAGTCCAAGTCTATGCC